ATATATATATATATATATATATATATATATATATATATATATATATATATAATTGATAATTTGCTACTTCCTTAGAAATACAATTTTTTTCTACTTAAATCCTAGAATGTAGTTATTTAGAAATTATTTTAAAATTGATAAAAAAAAAACTGCTTTATACATTACCTGATGAAGATAATCGATAGTTTGAGCTCTACATCTTGCAGGATTTCATAGATTGTGTTTTTTGATTTATTCACTTACTGATTTGAAGATGGTAGTTTTGTGTTCTAAATGGTGCCTTAGACCATATTTTGGTTTGTGTTTCTCTGGTGTCTTTCTGATTGGCAGCATCAGATTTGGTTACGCATCTCCAGCTACCGGCTCCTAAAGCTCACATTGTAACGGTTCAGTTTGCCTCTGGGTGGTTCTATAAGGAACAGCTAGATTACCCTGAAAGGAGTTTATTACATAATCCGCTCTTAATATTCAGTCATGTTAAGATAAGTAAGTCTTCATCGGTTCTTCATCAGTGCAGACTGAGCTGCTGCATAGTGTAGCATGTGATTAGGTAGAGTTGTCATTGGGGGCATATCTTCATTAACTTTCTGAGCAGAAACCAGGCTTTATATATTTTCCATTAGTGACAGATCAGGGAATCGCTTCCTTATGACTGCAGTTATATTTCAGTTCCTGCTAATTCTAAACCGCATCGTTCTCTGTCTTCATTTCTTCAAAAGTTTCAATTCAATTCAGTTTATTTTTATAGCTCCAATTCACATCATGTCATCTCAGGTCACTTTCCAGTTCATCACATCATCCAGTCAGATTGATTCAAAGTTTTCCATCTAAGGAAAACCAGCTGATTGCATCAGTGATCTTCTCTCCTCGCTCCATCTAACATCTCCTTCTGCCGTTTGTTTCAGGATGACCGGCTGCGGGCTCCCCTGCTGAAGCTGAAGTTGGCCGTTTGTAGCGTCATGCCTGAACAGATCGCGAGATTTAACATGGATTGTATGGCCAAGGTTGCAAAGTACGTAAACGGTTCAAATGATGCTCTGTCACTGTTAAACTGGAGGTTAATTCTTTGTCTCTGATTTTATATAAAGCTTTTAACAGCTGGAACTTTGAGTTTAGTTCAAATTCTGTAAAATCTCAGCTAAATTTCTTTTGTGATTTTTTACGACTATTTGCATTATTTTGGAGCAATGACTCTTATTTAACTTGGGATAAACACTGTCAGTCTGAGTTCAGGGTTTTCTGCCTCAGAATGAAGCCGTTTCTGATGGCAGCTTCTCGGCTCAGTGGAGCTGCATGAGTTCAAATGATGTTTGCAAACGTAAACAGCTACTAATCTATTAAAAATGAAGGATATCTGATTCACAGAGGCCATTTAGTGCAGGAAGATGCTTCTCCTAGTTAGGTTTTTAGCATCAAAATGGATGAAGGCTGGAGGAGGAGAAGAGTTGATCAAAATCTGAGCCAATGGAGACAGGAATGGTTCTGAGGCATCCGTTCAAACGGATCAGATAAAACTGAACAGATCATCAGCCCCACCAGCTGTCTTCATAATAAACCTTCCTTTTAAGAACCAGTCCTGTCTGTGTTTTACAGGCAGCAGTCCGAAGAGGGGGACAGGAACGGCTCAGAGGAAGAGGACGATGAGAAACCTGGGAAAAGAGTGATGGGACCACGAAAGAAGTTCATCTGGGACGACAAGCTCAGGTGATGAGACGCATCCTTCCAGCTGCCGTCTCAAAATTCACACTGTTAACGATTCATCCAGGATCTGGCTCCGTCCAGATCGCTAGTAGGAAACATTAAGATCTGCTCCGGGGAAAACCAGGGCCAGTTTTTTTTTTTTATATATTCTAGTTAAAGGAAAAGTCCGGTTAGCAAGTAATGATCAATGGATCATTATTTATAAAACTAATATGTTCCTGGTGATTTAATGAATTTAGCTTTAGTCGTTTAAAAAAATGACATTTTTCGTCCCGATCAGTGAGTTAGGGAGCGGCCATTTTTGCTCAAATATAGTAACACCTCACTCCTGCCATCTTCTGTCCTCAAACCACAACCAAATCCTGAAAGTACTCGGAGTCAGAGCCCTTTAGTGGGCCAGATTCCGAGCCAGGGCCCATTAGTATTGTATTAATACCTGATGATAAATATAGCCATAACCTTTTCCATTTTGAGTGGACAGAATAACTGTGCTCACTAGGCCAAATAGAAAATTTGCAATATCTTTGACTTTTACATTAAGTGAAGCAGGGATGGGATCAATGACATTGTGAGACTGACTATGGCTTTAAATGGAAAAAAATCCGGTCAGCATGGAATAATCAATGGATCCTTATTTATACCTAAAACGAATGAGTTTGCTGTGATTTAATCAATTTAACGTTAATCAGTAAAAACTGAAAATAATAATTTTCGTTGCAATCACTAAGTCTGGGAGCGGCCATTTCTGCCCAAATATAGTCCCCCTCCCTCCTTCCAGCAGTGACGTCACGGTGCGGTAAGCCTAGCGCCATTCTCCCCGCTTTACAAGCAAAATCAATGGGAACTACTAGACACATCTGCAATCAACAACAATTATTGAAGATTTCCAGAGGACTTCACCATTGAAATTCACCAGAGCTATAGTGAAACTGACAATGCCCACGTGCATGGCAGCTGGATGCTGGAATACATCGGGTAAAAGTGGAAAAAAGAGTTATTCCACCTTTCTGATTCCTGATCCTCCACGGACGGGTTCTTTGACAAACATGGATGCCTCCAGTAAAGCACATTCACATGAAAATTACTCTGAATTAAAAACACTGATCATTTATTGAACAGTATGCAATAATTTCATATTTAAAGTACTTTCAAAAGTTTGAATTCTGAATATGAGCGGATTTTCCTTTAAAGATCTAAGGGTTGTTACACCCCATCTGTCTTTATCTTTTTACGTATTTTAGGTTTGTTAAGACACGGTCAATATGAATCTTAAATGTCTGGATATGAAACATCTGAGAGAAGGACGTCTAAGGGGAAAAAAGATATGGCTCGTTTTTATCTTTATTTTTTTTATCTACAATATAAAATGGCATTGATCTGAGTGTGTTGTCTGTGCAGGACGTTGCTGTGTAATGTGGTCCGTGTGAAGCTGAGCTGCTATGAGATGGAGAGCCAGTGCACTCTGTCTGTGGAGGACTACCTCAAAGCCTTCTTGGAGAACGAGGTCAAACCGCTGTGGCCCAAAGGCTGGATGCAGACCAGGTGCGCTAATCTGTGGGATTATATGGATGTTTCTGTGTCTGGAATCCCCTTAATCTGATCAATATTCAACCAGTTTACTGATTGATAATTAATAGAAACATACAAATTACAACCCTGATAAATGAAGCAGTGCTTAGTTTAATCACTAACAGGGAAGAAGACATAAAGTGAGAACGCCTCAATATAACCGTCACTAACCTCACTAGTTGCAAGTTCACTTCCATTTTAATACTTTTTGTTATGGAGTCAGAAACGGCTCAAAAACAGGAAAAAAAAAATAGAAGATCATATTAAATGTCAAATTTTTACCTTATAATGTGAGAAAATAAAAAAGCAAACATAAAATAATAAGAACTGAATCTCAATTCAGTTTAGTATCACTTTTTCTTGTATGTATTTATTTGCAGTTTTAGATTTTCAGATTCAAATCCAGTTCTTTCAGTTTTTTTTATTGTTTCAAATTCAGTTTTCAGTTTTTTTTATTGTTTCAAATTCA